GGCTTATTAAAATAACCAGTTGTGCAGTAAATGCCTGGAAATCCCTACCTTGTAGAGTAGGAAAAACAACCATCCTTACAGAGGTTAAACCGAAGGTCGAGGAATCGTATCAGGATTTCCTTTCTGGCCTTGTACCGGCAGTCAAGAGAGTAATCACCAATGAAGAGGCAGCCGGTATCCTAATCAAACAACTGGCTTTTGAAAATGCTAATAATACCTGTCAGGCTTTATTAGGCCGATTTGCAGAACAGGAACTATAAATGATTTTATAAAACAGTGTGCCAGCGTAAGTCCAGCATTTATACAGGGTGTAGCTATAGCTGTAGCCCTCAAGGGGTAGACATACCCTCAATATGTACAGGGCAGAGGACAAGCCAGCAATAATACAGGTAATAAAAGAAATATGAACTGCTACTCTTGTGGCTTATCTGGGCACTTTAGCAGAGAATGCCGAAATAAAAATAATAGGCCAGATGGCAAGCTCCTCGACAGCCTGGAAATACATCAGGAAATAATATTAATCCTCCAAAAACTGTCCCCAATGTCAGAAAGGATTCCATTGGGCAAAGGAATGTAGATCAAAATACCATAAAAATGGTCAGCCTTTAAATTCTACAAACTGCTCCCAAGGAGGTTCTATCCCATCACCTCAATTGGGAAACTTGAGAGGGGGCCAGCCTCAGGCCGCTGCAATAATAGGGACATCAACCCTCAACCCCTCTGCAAATTTCAGTCAGTCAATGACCTCTTCAGGGCAACCCCAGGCAGTGCAGGATTGGACCTCCATTCAACCACCCACGCAATACTAACCCCAGACTTGCTGGTAGCAGCCATTCCTACAGGAATGTCCGGGCAGCTGCCTGAGGGAACTGTAGGTTTAATATCAGGACGGAGCTCCACCTCATTACAGGGGATCTTAATCATCCCAGGAGTTGTTGATGCAGACTACACAGGAGAAATACAGATTTTACTTTCCCCACCCACCACAACTATACAGATTCAGCCCAACCAGAGAATTGACCAATTATTCCTGTTACCAATACATAAAATAGGGACAGCTGTTACCCAGGAAGCCATAGGGGCCAGAGGCTTTGGATCTAGTGATGCAGCAGTTTTCATACAAGAAATCCATGCTGCTAGACCTACAAAAATTTTACAAATTCAGGGAAAACCAATTGAAGGTCTATTGGATACAGGAGCAGATGTTTCCTGCATAGCAGGGAAGGATTGGCCCTCTTCATGGCCCACGCACACCACCTCCACTTCCCTAGTAGGACTAGGCAAGGCATCTAATGTAAAAAAGAGTTCTCAGATTTTAACTTGGGCTGATGAAGATCAACATTCAGTGTGGGGAGCCGGCACAGCCATGGCATACTCAGCCCCAGGGCGCCTTATGTGCCATGCCAGCTCAGCCAGGTCAGCCTGGTTGAAAGCTGCTGAGTGGGGAGTGTGAAAGGATTGAGAAAGGACAGACAAGAGAATGAAAGCTGGGTCTTGGTGGGACGCTGCTCCCTGATGAGGAGACAGCGCCAGCGCCCACAAGCCATGTCTTTATTTTATAGCAGATGCCACGAGGCAAAGTAGGGGCATGATCAAGTTGTTTACAGCATTCTCGTGAGTTTCAACCTCACTCGACTGTATGCACCCGAACTCTATCACAAAGCACATTGGGCCACGTGTTCGGATCATAGGTTCAAGCTCACAACCACAGCCGTTGGCTATAATAGTGCTGGGAAGGCCCTGCCCTCCAGCTGGGACTTGCAGGTGGCAATGAGAGGACTCTGTCCTCTCATTGGTCCAAGGCTTGAACCTGGCCAAAACACTGTAGTCGTGCCCCACAATTCAGGAACATTCTGTCCCTATGTGATTACAACTATCCCCGTTACATTATGGGGAAGAGATACCTTGTCTCAAATGGGAGTTCTATTATATAGCCCTAGTGGTGTTTGATTTACTCCTGTTACAAAAAATTACAAGAAAGTGAGTTTAAATATTCCTCTCCTCATCATGTTCTACAACATATCTAATATACTAAATGTAGGTTCTGAGGGAAATTCCCCGATGTACAGACATTGGAACCCTGATCTAACTGAACCTAAAGCCCTCATCAAATGGAGAGACTTGCTTACAGGAACCTGGAAGGGACCTGATGTACTTTTAACCTGGGGGAGAGGATATGCTTGTATATTTCCACAGGACGCAGACTCACCTGTGTGGATTCCAGACCGTCTAGTCAGGCCTTATGTCTCACCGTCCTCCATCTCTACCTCACCTTAGCACACCTGACCAGTGCCCGTCTGCAGCAGATGTGCAGCCCTGAGCTGAGTCTCACCGCCCTCCGTCTCCACCTCACCCTAGCACACCTGACCAGTGCCCGTCTGCAGCAGATGTGCAGCCCTGAGCTGGAACAACCTGTCCATTGGGAGGATCACATGTGCCTCCTTTTTGTCTGTCCATATGTCCCAGATCTGCCCCACACCTCCTTTCCTTTTTTTAAAATCTACTTGTTTGCTGGTTCTTTGGCCTTTCTCCTCCTCTCCTGAACACAGCCTTTCCTAGAATCTCCCTACCGTACTGTTCCAGGAAGGGCACCTCCCTTTTCTGCCATGACTAGGGGGTGTCTGGTATAGGCCCCATATGTGGAGTTGTCTTTTGCCAAGAGCCTGACATCCTGGACTGAGAAAGCCGTCCCGGGACTACATGCTGACAGGCTGTTCCTCCCTTATCCTGTATTGGCCCCTCTTGCCCTTGTGTCAAGAGGGACCCTCCTCTCACAGTCCATTTGCAGGCGAGGGGAGCCCAAGGCAGGTGCTGGGCGTGGAGGCCACGGGGGCATAGGCTATCAAGGAGACAGAACTGAACCTCTTGCAGGGGGGCGCTGCCCCTCCCTCATTTGCACATCTCACATCACCCTGGTTGGCCCCGGAGGATGTCTGGTTAGCCAGAGACAGGTAAGATTCCTCAGGGAAGGGACAACCTAAGACAGGCACAGTCGCAGAGGGGCCATCAGGAAACAATTTGGGGGTCAACAGAGGTGGGGCACAGACCTTCACCCCCCCAACTTTGCAGAGACCTGAACCCTCACCCCTTCTGAGGGAGGTCTCCTGCCCCGCTGGCTGCTTCGCTTCCCACGCCCAGCTCAGATCGGGACCCAGGTAAAGACAGAGACTGGCTGACAGCAGCTCCCCTCTCACTGCAACAGGACTTGTTTCCCATTTCTACCTTGGACCACAGGGAAAGGGGCAGCTG